ATACAATTGTTTTACTTATTGTATACATATCTTTAAAGAACATTTTATGTCTGAGTCACAAAGTATCGAAGGCGTGTGAAAATTTTCAATGAAACTCATATAGAGATATTTACAGTAAACTATACTGCCCAGTAATATTTGAAGGCATGAAATAACAAAAGAGTCAATAACTTTATAAATTTTCTTTTGATTCACTCAGTTTTGACCGTCTTCCTGTATCCATATATTATATTTCGAGACAAATTAAGTTGTTAAATTACAACGATATTTCTATTATAATATTTAGTAATGCGTAATAGAAATGTTTTTGCAATGATATAGGGTTTATTTAAGTACTAACTGTGACAATAAATAGCTCCAGTCAATCTTTTACCGCATTCTAATGCTAGATTAATGCTTTTGTAGTACAATTAACAACTTCAATGCCCGTAATAATGCTTATTTAATATGATTGGTACCTTTTTGACCACAATAATGCTAATATAATACGCCTGTAATGCAATTCAACAACTTTTGTGTACCTATTTAGGATCTAAAGCAGTATAATTTGTGCCCAAACAAACATTACAGTAGGCGTATAAAAGTTTGTAATGCTAATGTAAGTGGTTGCTGTGGCCCATAGACATCTACATCTACATCTACACTCAATGATGAATCAAAATGAACATGCTTTGTCGCACCTAAGGACTAAAATGGAATGCCTTGTTTCCATTAAGAGGCGTCTCCGGTTCTTTAAACTCCCCATATGAAACAGCAGCATATAGCTGTTATTTTACGCTGATGTTTTTTAAGAGCATGGTCCTACCCTGTTTGAGCCGCCTTATTCAAGCTACAGTACATTCGCGGCGATGCAAGAAGCCGAGCGGCACTGCACGGCCACGGGCTCTAATCCTACACGTAGTATAGATAAAATGCCTCGTTTCCAGTAAAAAGAATCTCCGGTCCGCTACACTATTTGGCGCTGGTATTCTGTGAGAGCGTGGCCCTTCCGCGTTGGAGCTCCGCCATTCATGCTAAAAGCATAATTTAGCTGCAGCGTAGCTCTACCACTTAAAAATGACGAATCTATAATGCGAGTACACTCGATATTTACAATTTTAAATTCGCATATTATTCTAAATAATTATATCAAGATGTATGGCTCTTACAAAATTGTCCACGTTGTGGTTCTACGTGAGTGCGAATTGTGTCGTACTGATAGGAATCTGCGAGGCGACGGGAAGGGGACAGGCCAGAACAGGCGATAGCATCGCGCTGAATTGAACGCACAGCTCGCCAGGGTCGCACAGCGGTACTCCAATCATACCGATGCATTTTTAATTATTAAACCCTTTCTAAACTTGTTACTATGATAATTATTATAACTTTATGCCGATTCTAAACAAAATTTAAATAAATAAATATATAAACTTTGGCCGCTCGGTATATTTACGAAAATTTAATATACAAATAGAAATACTTGTAAAATAAACAGTTCACAAAAATAAGAGTAGTTTTAATAGAAAGAGTAATTTAAACACGAGGAACAAACACGAGCTGGTACTACCAGTTTCTCAGCTTCACAGACTCAATAATTCATTCATGGGGCAATTTATGTATGTATGTGGGATAATGTAATACGCTATTACTTCAAAATCCCAAAAAATATACAAGTTTTATGATAATTACAATATAAGTGAATATATGGTTAATGATAACCATTGAGAATGAGGTGGGCGCTTCGAAGCGGTTTTTTTGAATAAGTTTTGTAAGTATTTTGTTCAATCTGTCTTATACTGTATAATTTTACTATAAAAAAGTCACGCTGGGTTTTTTGCTAGTTCTTTAGTTTTCCGAACCAGTGGTTAAAGTCAAAAAAATACTATCAATAAGTTAAGTTTTTTTCTAATTAAGTTACAAATTTACATGTAAGTAAGTTAATTACATGTAATGTTACATGTAAGTTAATTACATGTATATTGAATGAAAATTATTCTATTCTATTCTATACTCGATGGTACAGATCCTTGTATGACCAGATGTCGTTCCAGGTTGGACACACCCTCTCACCTCACTCTGTCGCCATGCAGCGGTTACGAGGTGTTCTTTACGAGTTCTTATGAGTGATGACGCATTTGTAGTATTCTTTGCTTAAAGTTACTTCTACGTGACCATGCGATCGACCTGAACCATTAGCAGTTAAATACTATTTAGCTAATGATTTCTTAAATTTACGCGAACACAACACATTGAATAAAACTATCATTTACGGATTTTATCGCATTTAATTACCTTAATTTGTTTATATTATCCCGACGTTTCGGGTGCTTTACAGCACCCATGGTCACGGGGGGGGGGGGAATAAGATGTTTGACGTCCCAATGTCATAGTTAGTCCGGCTACCTTCAGTTTTTGAATATTTATTTTTGGTCTGATTTACGCAAAACGAGCTTATAGTATCATGACGTCTTGCAGTGTTATGCTTAGGTTTGGGTTTAATTTTGTTAATTATAGGATCCCAAGCAGATAGCCGTACCCAACCATCTTCTCTATTGAAATTTGGATGTTTTTTTTATTTCAATAGCCTCGCGTATCATCCTTGGTATGAATCGGTTTTTTACGAGATTTTGTGGTTTATTAAATCGAATGTAATGGTGGGGCCGATCTTGAACATGTTCGCAGACTGAAGGCTTCCCGGAACGTCGGTGCTTCACGTCAGATATATGTTCCTTCTCGCGGGTTTTTATAGATCTTTTTGTTTGACCTATGTAAGAGAGACCACATTCACAATCTAGCTTGTACACACCTGCATCCTGTAAAGGAATATTACATTTGATGGATGGTAAAAATTGACTTATCTTCTTCGGCGTCTTGTAGTATGTTTTAATGGAAGCTCGCTTCAAGATGTCTTATTAACATTAACGGAGATAATAGTTAGCCCGTTAACCACTGCACGTAAGCATAACATGCTTGTGTTATGAATGGTCAAAGCGATAGTTAGATGGCGAATTCGAACCAGGAGAGATGCTGCTTTATGTTGGTACCTATGGCGAGAAACGAGCACACAGTCCACCTGATGGTAAATGGATGCTGTGGCCCATAGACAACTACAATCAAAATGCAGAAGCCTTGTTACACCTGAGGACGAAGATGGAATGTCTAGTTTCCAGTAAAAGGGATCTTCGGTTCTTCACACTCACCATATGAAACACAGCAGCTTATTAAGCTGTTATTTCACGTTGTTATTTTGTAAGAACGTGTACCGCTAAATCGTGCTACAACCATTGAGGTAATGGAAAAGAAGAAAGAAAGAAAGATTTATTGTAGCTTAATAGGCTACGTAATAACATATTACCTCAATTACTACAACCATAATAAAGCTGAAGCGTGGCTCTACCACGTGCAGGTATATTCATTTTAAGGTACTCGTAAGATACGAATATTTATAATAGCAACCTAAATGTAACATTTTATATATGTATATGATTACTAATCTTAACTACTCGGACAAGTTATTCGATGGAATTCTTCTTAGATTCAGAATTCACAATAAAATGATGAAGAGGACTGGCGTTATATTGCGGCTCTGCAGGGCCACGGATTCAAATCCCGCGCGCAGCAAGGTTTTGTATGGCCTACCATTTAATCGTTCTGGATCTAGTTGTTAGTTCATATGAAATTTATGTATCTATATAAAATACCTTCCTGATACCGGAGACAACCCCATCGTTTGGGGTAGTATTTTGTTTTAATTAAAACGCGGTTTATGTTGTATCAGGCCCATTTAAACTTTTGTAATGTAAACACCTTTTGTCACTTAATGTGTTTATGTGAATAAATAAATACATATGGAACCCAATAAATATTATCGTGTATTCTGACGGAGGCTGGCAGCCCTGACGCTGGACCGGGCGCGGCTGCTGCGTGCCTCGCGCCGCGACATCTCCGCTGATTATCTTGTGTAATACAATTGTTCCACTTCTCCGCCTTTCTGTAGCCGTTGCGCAAATATCGGCACCTTTTTTGTTTCAGCTCGACACGGGGTAAGATCTCAATAAGTATATCTACTTACATTATAGTAGAGTTTTTATTACACATATTGAAAAGACAATCGAATACCTTGCAGTAGCGGTGTAAGGATAGCTACTGTGACATATCGTCTAGTGGGTGTGGTCCCAAGTAGCGCAGATAGCTGTATAACTACTCACTTTTAGACCTGTTTGAAACTCTATGCGTATTAAGACTCTTAAATGTACATTGGCGATCCTACAGCTGCATAATAGCTGTCAGTGATATTAAAACAGCTTAGGCTGATTAAGAGCTGCATTAAGGCTAATTAAGACCAACAAAACTACCATTAATACGCTAAAAGTGCTATAAAGGTATATTTTGAACGACTCTATTCAGCTTTTAACTTATTCTAATGCCGTAGTAAGGACTGTTTAGTGAATGCTATATAAGGAGATTTTTGTGAACTCCTATTACACTAACCTATTAATCGGGCACGTGTGAACTAATATAAAGTTGCCCACATTACAGCTTATTGCTGAATATGTCCTTTATACTGTCATTGATAGTGTTTGCATAGTGGCTGTTTAAAAATTTACTAGATGCCTCGCAGCTGCTTAGAGTCTCACTAGTGTGTCGAACTAACGGCTTCTACTTTACAGTGGTTCACATAAGTTACTTAAATTAGATTTCATCTGAATAAAAGTAACATATGTTGTACTGTTATCAGTCAATTGTTGGCCATATTACAGACGTATATATTTTTTTCTTTGTAAATATGAATTCGAGTAGGTAATTCGTGGAAAATGAATGGAGCGTTGTGATCTGTTAGTCGGTCGGTATTCAGTGAATATTACTGTCGTTACCCTTTACAACACTCTTATATTGCTGCTACACAGCTCTTAAGTGGCTATGTGACTTAAAGGCTGAATAATTTGTGCCCATTTAAGAGTTATAAGTCCTGTATAGGGTCCTATACATCTGTTATGCAGCTTTTTTATTCAGCTTAAGACATGATGGGAATCCGTTACTCGGCTGATAAGCAGCGTCAGGTGCTACTTGGGGTAAGATGCGACGGAGGGTAATTGAAGCAGGTGATGGTCAGCAGTATCTACCTGACGACAACTCAAATAATAAGCATTCTAGGTGCGACCCGGTGGAAGGAATAAAAAAATATAATATCTTTTAATATTTTATACAATTTTTCATTCTTGACCGATTTTGCTCAAAATTTAATGAGGTCTAAGTTACATAATTATGAATTAAATGAAACTGGTCCCATATCAATATCACTCTTTGTTCTCGAGATACACGAGCCGAAAATTGAATCCGAACATACATACATACATACACATACGTACATGTGCACACACGGACATCCTTTTAAAAACCATACTATTCGACTCTAAAGACCTTGAAACGTGGAGATGTGTTAAAATTTCAAATTTGCAAAATCTGACCCATTACAATAACTTCCTACTGGGAAGTTAATAAAAAATTACGGTTGTCAACCCGGAGGCCTAGCGTGAATGTGGCAAAATCCATATGCAGGCTTTAGCTTTAGTGGATACTGGGTGGAAGGAACAATCCAGCAATAGGTAGCCGGTACAGCGTGGAGCTGGGGTGTGTTATCTCCTCATAAGATTAAGATGGAACACCTCTAATCCAATAATATAACTATTCAGATCAGAGATAAAACATTCAGATCGGAGCACAAGAGTATCTATATCATAATAACAATAGAATAATTTTTGTACGCCATAAATGGCAAAACATGTAGCTCGTATTAAGTTTTTTTTTAACACCTGTATTTTTACTCATGTTTTACAAAATAAATATCTTTATCTTTATCTTTATCTTTAACAATGTCTTATATACCGAATTACGGTCATGGGGTTCGGTCTCAACGGGGTCCTAGCTATTTACTTAGGACAGAAGTAAACTGCACTAATGTATGTGCACGCACGGGTGCACGGCTCCACAGGTGCACTCTGTATTACCTCTCTTATAATCCGATGGGACGGCAATTCGACACAAACACATTTGAAGAGAGATTAGGCACAGTACTAACAGCTTTACTTGCTTTCCAAGACCAGAAGGTGAACCACCTGACTCCGGTTTGCTGCTGAGAATCTCTTGACTGAAGAATACAATAGCCAATATCAGCACGAGCCGGCATTCCAACCCGGGACCACAGTCAGACGTCGTATTACGACCACTGGAGCAATGAGGCAGTGGAATATCTCTAACAGTCAAATGTATCTACTGGTTACTATACACAAATATCGGGGATCTAAAAAGGTCTTAATCAGTCACTTTTAAGTAATAAGTATAATTACTGTTGATTTTAATAAAGTTGTGAGTAAAAAAAGTAAATTGGAGAAATTGTTTTTTATTATATCAAATTTATATTTTTTTAATTAGTAACGATGTTTTGATAGTGATTATAAGTAATCAATTGTGTAAATATATTATATTGAGTAATTTACATTACATGACGAGTTTTTGCTTGTTAATTCTGTTTTAGTTTATGGAGTTGTGGTGTGTGTACTATCTATCGCATCAGGGCTGTCGTGCAATGATAGTCGTAATGGATGTAATAAGAAATAGATAAATAAATAATGTATATAACTTTAAATATCGCGTTCCAGTATTGTTTCAGTCAATGTACGTATATTAAACATAATTATTTATGTTATCATTAATTTAAACTGCTTCAGTGGCAGTGCTTGGTAATTAACAAATAGATTGGTAGCCGGCGCGGAGGCTAGGTCGGGGCCCGCAAATAAATCTCCGGGTGTCAAACGTAGCGCTCGTTGCCGCCACATGTCGGCATTCTACTGGTCCATATTCTTCCTGTTCACGTTCGTTGGACCAGAGCACACGCTCTTATCTGCAGCCAGCTGCTACTTTTTGTATGTTCATGATATTATAATGAATCTTAAAATGTAAAAAAAGAAAGAGAAAGAAAGAAAGAAACATTTTATTTTTGCACAGATCGGTTGGCGTAGACAAGAATAATAATAAACTACATAATTTACTCCGACCGCCGCGCTGCTCCAGTGGTCGTCAACGCAATTGATGTCTATGAGGTGTCAGGTTTGAATCCTGGGTCGGGGCAAAATTCAATTATTCGTTTTTTCTGTCAAGAAATTCTCAGTAGTAGCCTGGAGTCAGGAAGTTGGCGGTGTGTCCTGCGCCTGGTCTCCTGCTGGTCGTGTCGGATTACCGTCTCGTCGCACTACGAGAGAGACGGAATAGAGAGTGCACCCGTGCTGCAGCATACACTCGGACACTGTGAGTTTGTGGTGCGTCGATGGCTAGTCACCGTTGAGATTGAGACCTGCCGTTACTAAAATTCGATCTGGAGGAGATTATAATATAACTGATTACAAAACAAAAATATAAAATCTAATCAATTTGGCTTTGTACCTCGAAGGCGTGCTCAAAAAGTCATGACAGTAGTAAAGGGTGATGTCGAAACCACAACGTTGATATTTAGTAGAGACCAAAAAAGTTAGGTCGTGAATTATTATTTTCTGATGTTACTTTAAAGACATGTTGTTCCCATAGCAAGTATAAGGAAGTGCAAAATTCTTTACACAAACAGAGCTCATAGAGCGTGTGAGCTCTGTATAAATAGACGTATGTAATTATTTCATGATTAGAACTGCTAAATTTATATCTCCTTATTCCTACTTCCCCTAGTGAATTATCTTACCTATACTTAGATCTTAATATTAATTTTTAACATATTTATGATATTGTTTTTGGGTTACAAAAATTGTTACATATTATAATTAGTAGTATTATTTTTGATCTGGCTTTTACTTCTCTGTTTTTTTTTTCTTTAAAAGTAGAAATTGCTAAATGAACATACTTTTTTTTGTAAAATAAGTAGTTGTTGTAAGTTTTGTAAATAAAATAAAAAAAACCTTATCACAATAACAAAACTGTTTTTATTAAAGTACTTTACACACAGACAAACGAGCACACAATCCAAGAGCACAAATCCGCATGCAGAGTAGATGTCGTGAACCATAGACAATTTACACGTATCCTCAGTGAAGAATGTAAATACAGATTTGTTGTCACCCCTGAGGACTACCATGAAATGCCTCGTTTCCAGTAAAATGGATCTCCGCTCAGATTATAAAACAAAGTTCTCTTGTGTAATCACTCACCATATGAAACAGATTTTTTTCAAGCTGCTCATCGTGGTCGAGTCGATCCGCACGTAACTTATTTTCTTATAAGCTAAGAGACAGGCAAAAAATACTCCGCATCCAGTTAATAGTTTAACAAACTACCAAATCTATTAGTTCTGTCCATTAACTTTTACGAGCAGCAAGCGGCGGGCGGCGGCACTCGGCGCTTGTTGTCAATACGTGATTTAACTGCGCAAACAAATTCTAAGCGACAGTCAAAATGTAGTGGCTTTAAACTAATCAACTTGACGGGGTTTACGGCGTGGGAGACAAGTGGGGAGCAGATGTACGAGCACGTGGCGGCGGAACTCCTCGCCAGTGAGCAGTGTCCTCCAGCAGTGTCGCTGCCACCAGGCGACGCCGCTTAACCATGAGGTGAAATATTTGATGGATTTTATAGCTGGGGAAGTTAAATTGTTAGGAAAATGTAAGAATTAATGTTTTTTATGATATATTAGTTACATTTTATATTACATATTTAGTTTATAAAAGATAAATTAAACTACGGATTTTACTAAAAGTAGAAAAATTTAAAAAGAGTGAAAAAATTTCAGCTTTGTTTCAATTCAACTTGCTCAAGCTGTGATAGTTACGTATACACTCTCTGGGAACCGATAAACTTTCATTTGAAACGCAGTTTCTCAATTATAATGAGCTCGTGTTACAAATGACTTCACCTCGATCCCGACCAGCGACATCTGGTGATCGTAAAGCTATTAGCCCTAACTGCTCGGCGGTTGGCGGCGCGACTGTAACTCGAGCGGTTTCTTCACACGCGAGACGCGCGCTGCGGCCCGTGTCAGTTCACACGTGCGCTACAGACGCGCGACACCGCACTCTACTTGACTAAAAAGATAACAAACACCGACGGACCGGTTGTTACTATTAGGTCCGTTTCTTTAAGGGTGACAAACGAGCACTCTGTCCACCTGATGGTGAGCGACGTTAACACGACTTATTCTGTGAAAGCGTGTTACTTCTCTAGTAAGAGCCGAGCCATTTGTACTACAATCATAATATAGCTGCAGTGTGACTCTACCACATCAACTTACTGACCTGTGTGAAGTTTCGCCGCATTTAATTGGGTACTGGATCAGATAAAATTCCTGACATATATCAGGGTACACCGAATTAAACTACTGTTTTCCTACTGGACTCACCGGTAGGTTCCCAACACCTCCATGACCTCTGCTTAGGTATCTACATTAATTTAAAGCAAACTCTTCGAAGGAACACGACAGTAAAAAAAAGAAAAAACAAACTATTTAAATAACTTTACTTGAAATTCCATCAATCTTTATAAAATATAATCGTAAACGATTAAGCAATATATATTTATTGACTTCAGCACATGTTAATATAAATAAATTCAAATGTTTCTACTTCCATTCAGTGGAAAATACATATATAATTTTTAACCTCATACTCATATCCTCATATAGCGGCGACTGACAGACAGACAGAGAGGTGATTGTCTAAGGTGTCACGTTTTGCTAAATTTGTACTCGTAAGCTCGTAAGTCGTAACACTATTTTTCAATTTATTACGCGCCAGTGCTTGACAGCTGTCCTACCTGCTGCTAAACGAGACGGGCCCTCGACGGATAAACGTACTTTTTCAATCGTAACAATAACCTTTACACTCTTACCTCGAACACACCCAGACTGCAACTGCGCTACTCACTAAGGAAGATGAAGTGACTGTTTGGTTCTAATGCTTGATATATTGACAACACATGAAAATAAACCAGCCGACCATCTAGACCTTCATACTTTCCGCACCGTATCCTGTAGAACACTGAAAAGCTGGCTATTCTGGGCATGTGCTCGAGGTTGAAAGATTGTTTTTTTTTTATAGTAGAGGCCCAGATACTTCATGTACTGCACCACTCTGTCTTCAGACCCACCCACGCGGATGCACGAGTCGGGTGGTTCCGTGCCGCGTCATAGTTTATGGAACCATAGGGCCTCGGTCTTATGAGGCGCTTTTTCTAATTACAACTCGTGAATTTTAGTGACGAAGACTTCCGCCCCAAGCTCGGCGAACTCCTTGGCCCTCTCGAAGGTGACCCCGCTAGCAACCACCAACGTGTCGTCGGCATAGCAAACGATGTCTACGCAGCGGGAAGTTCAACTCGCAGGACCACATCATAGGCGAAGTTCCACAATAGTGACGCCACCACCGAGCCTTACGGAACCCCATGTCTGATCTCCTTCGGAATCTTCCTACCATTTTGCCCCATGTACAGAATGCACCTGTCGCGCAAGTAGGTAGGTAAGTAAGTATGTTTAAGAGGGATATATTTCTTTGTCAAAAACTTTACCTTTTGTTACATTATCATCATCATCATTCCACAGCCCTTCACAATTCCACTGCTGAAAAATGGCCTCCTCCAAGGAATGCCACAAAGCACGGCCCTGAGTCACCTGTATTCATCGACTTCCTGTATGTCTTACGAGTTCGTCACTCCATCTAGTATAAGGAACGCCTTACACTTCGCCTGTCGGTACCTTTTATTTATAAAATTTAATTTTTATATTTTATATTTTAAGTGGTAGAGCCATTCGATAGCACATATATGTACTACTGCTGCACATCCCTCGTATCGGTCGTGGTGGTGGTGTTGGTGCTTACATAAAATCTAACTTACGTGCAAAGCCCTTAGATCACCCCCCTAGTGAACTTGAACAGATATGGTTTAATGTTAAAATAGGTAGTGAGACAGCTGTATTTGGTTCGGCGTATCGTCCTGAATCAGTGAGTGTTGGTTCAGCTATAGCCTGTTTGCACGAGTCTCTCTCCTTTTTTATAGCGCAATATGATCAATTATTTCTCGTTGGTGTCCTGAACATTGATTGTCTAAACAACAACGGCCTTCCATATACGCCTAATTGTCTCAAGACCCTTGCTGATACATTTAATCTCCATCAAATCGTGAACCAGCCTACACGAATCACTTCTACTACGAGTACCCTGATTGATGTTATCTTTACTAGGACACATCTTAAGCCCATTTCTGTGGAGGTGACACATTATGATGATCTTAGCGATCATGGACTGATTTCAGCAAAATTTCCGCTCGCGATTCAAAAATCTAAATGTCGTATAATTTCATACAGACCTTTAGCTGAGAACACAATTGCTATAAGCAATGCTGCTAAATACATGCCATGGGAGCTGGTACTAGTACAAGATAATATTAATAATAGGGTAAAAACCTTTAACAATGTCGTCATTGACTTGATGGACTCATTCGTCCCTGTTCGCAAAAGCACTTTTAAACTACCCCCTGCCCCATGGATGACTGATACTCTTAGGAAAATGAATTCAATTCGTGACAAGGCTTGTCACCGGGCCAAAAATACAAAGTTGCAAAGTAGTATGCAATTTTACCGTGATCTGCGCAACTATTATAACCAAGCAGTTACTAGAAAAGCAGGCAAATTTTACTAGGTTTGTCAACAATAATAGGTCAAATCCTTCTCAGATGTGGCGTCACATAAAACGAATAATTTCACCTGCCGTAAAAAACCGTTCCATACCGGACCATCTTCTTGTCCCTGATTTACTTAATAATCACATTACAAACACCATATCATATGCACCTCCCGACAAAAGTGTTATTCAAGAAATCGAATCACTTAAACACTCTAGAAATAGAAATAGAAACTTTTTTATTCAATGTAGATTATAAAAATACTTATTGAAGGTCACTTTTTTAATTTACCACTGGTTCGCAAAAAAAAACCTCTGTCCTGGGAAGAACCAGCAAGAAACCCAGCGGGACTATTTTTTTCCAATAATAGCTTACAATCATGTTTACAATCAACAACACAAGACAAATTAGAAATAGCTTGGTAGCGATCACCCTTCCCAGGGGTTATTATCATCTATAAATTCGAATCGATCGAATTCGATCTCTGAAATCGAATTTCAATTTGTGGCCGTAAATGAAACGTTAGTGAAAAGTATAATTGCTTCTACATCTACTAATGCAACCGGATCATGGAGATGCCATAAAACTTTCTTCAATTCACTGGATGATGTGTCTATGGATTTGTTTATATCATATAGATCGGAGCATTTTTGTTGGATTACCGTCCGTAACAACTTTTTACTCGCCTGATTTAAGATCTTAGCGCTTCCTCGAATGTCCTTTTTGGTTGATATTTTAACACACGTAGGAATGAGATTATGGTCACGGCATCTCTTCAAGAAATTTAAGGCTGTTAAATATCTTGCGCGCTTGGTCTTTAGATCTTCTAATCGGCGTATTTTATTTGCAATTACCAGTCCGTACTGGTTTACATAATGGTTTCTTATATTTATGCGAACACTACACATTGAAATAATACTAGTTTTTACGGAATTTATCGCGTATATTTTAACTTTTTAAATACCCGACGTTTCGAACGCTTTACAGCACTCATGGTCACGGGCAGGACTGAGATGTTCAACGTCCATATGTCATAGTTAACCGCGGTTACCATAGATTAAAATTTAACTTTTGTTCCGATCTATGCAGTATGAACTTATGGTATCTTGAAGTCTTGCAGTTGTATGCTTGGGTTGGGATTTAATTTTATTTATTATAGGATCCCAAGCAGATGGTAGCACCCAGCCATCTTCTCTATTGAAATTACCGTACGAAGAAATTATCTGTAGTGTCGAGGACTGTTTATTTAAAAACAATATGCGGAAAGAAAATCTTCTTGAAGAGATGCCGTGACCATAATCTCATTCCTACGTGTGTTAAAATATCAACCAAAAAGGACATTCGAGGAAGCGCTAAGATCTTAAATCAGGCGAGTAAAAAGTTGTTACGGACGGTAATCCAACAAAAATGCTCCGATCTATATGACATAAACAAATCCATAGACACATCATCCAGTGAATTGAAGAAAGTTTTAACGACGTTTGACTATAATTTTTGCATGGAAACATTAAATAAACGCGAAATTGGTAAATATAATGAATGCAAAAACAAACATATAGAAAAATATCAAAAATTAACGAACAAGTCAAATGTCAAACATCTGAATCAATGCCAGAACCGAAAGCAACCATTGACAAACACAGATCATAGATTAATCGCGCTCTATAATCTGTCAAAACAAACACTGGATGATGCAACAATTAGGGTTTTATCCAAAGGCCTCAACTTTGCAATTACACCCCGCAAATTACCGTACGAAGAAATTATCTGTAGTGTCGAGGACTGTTTATTTAAAAACAATATGCGGAAAGAAGATTTGGAGGCGATACGTCAAGACATCTCGTCTATGTTACGTCGATGTTCAGTGCCTAAACCGAATCTTCCCAAAGACGAATTTATAGCGTTAAAGAACCTACGCAAAAAACACGAACT